GAAACTACTTCTCCAACCACCTAGAGATAAGAGGACACTTGACACTTGCTCATTGGCTATTCTAGATCTAGATGTCTCCTACATGTCTCAAACATTTCTCCTAGAGTTTGTTTATGATTAGTGGAATTAGATCTAAGTTCTCCTTGTCTCCTAGATATCTAGCTTCCTCTCCAAGCTAGCTAAGCTATATACATAGGTGTTTGGAACCATTTGTACATAATTTTTGAGCATTTCATTAAGTTGGCCAAAATTATCTCCTAGAATTCTCTTTCTCAAAAGCTTAAATCTCTCTTTGATTTATTACCAATTATCTTATCCTCTTCTTAAGAGTGTGGTGATATTTGAAGTAGTTTATCTTCTTCCTTAAAATGACACCAATTGAAGAGAGTCCTTCATTGTTGAAGGTGATTTTAGAGGTTTCCACCTCCATTAGAGACCTTGGAGAATCTTGAGGAATGTCAAGAAGGAAAAAATATAGGAAGAAACTTGAAGGAGAAGTTACAATAATCTAGTTCCTCCTAAAGTTTCAATCAACGAACCTAATTCACACTCCATTGTTTCATCTTCTACTTCATAGACAACATTAAAAACAATTTTTGGTGACTCCTTTGTGCATGCTGCCCACTTGTTCTAGTGACCACTATGATGAAAACGTTCTACTTACCACTTCTCCTTTAGTTCCCCTTTTGTAACATCCCATTTTTTAAAAATAAATAATAAATAAATTCGAATAATTAGAATATTATAAGGGAAATACTTTTGTACTAAAGATAAAAGGGGAGAGATAAATTAAAAGATTTTAGACTAGACATAAGGCCCAACTCGGTGACTAATTAAAAAGAAGAAAAAGGAAGGGATTAGGCATTATATGTGTCTTTTAAAACCTATAATACTCGTAGGAGGAAACCTAAAGAAAAGCATCAAGGAAGGCACTAATTAGCTACTAGAGCTACATGAAGTGTGTTGTTTTGCAGGGTCATCACTCCAGGTTTGGGAAAGTGAGATTGTCGAATTTATTGGGCATACATGAGGGATAGGGGTAGAGGGGGTGATCCCTAAGCCCCCTAGGTTGTTGAATTTGATCTATGTGACTACTTATTAATGAATTGATGCTTTATTCATTTATATTATATGAATTCGAGTGCTAATTAACATTGGATTCAATTGTTGGTATAAATTGATGTATTTGTAGATTAAGGTATATTGTGTATGAACTCGACATATGTGATGGATTGAATGAGTTGCATGGTTTGAGGGTATATTATTATTATTTGAGTGTTAGGTATCTCTTAAACATAAGTTCCTTTTGTTCAAAAGTTCATTATCTAATTACAGACCTTCATATTTTTTTCTAAGCAATTAAAAGTTCCCCTTCTAGAGAGGCACATTTATGAGCTAATAGGTTTGAATCTTTTAGAAGATTATCAAAAGCAAATAATGATTCTTTATCATTTTTAAATAGTCCAGGTTTAGATTCACATACATGTTCTTTGTTAGAATCTACCATCAAACACATATTTGTTGTTTTCTCTTCTCCTCCATTAGAAGATAATTATTTTAAATCATCCCAAGTGACCATTATGGCTTTCATTTTTCCTTTCTTTTCATCTTTCTTGAGTAGTGGACATTATAATTCATAGTGTCCTGGCTTGTTGCATTCATAACATTTTACTTCATTTTTTAAGGTTTTGTCAACTGGAGAATCCTTTATGAATAAGATGTTTTTCATCCTTTTTCTCCTTCTGAGTAGTCTTTGAACCCTTCTAGTTAGAAGAGCTAACTCATCATCTTCCGAGTTCTCTTAAACATCTTCTGATTTTGAGTCTTCCTCAGTTTTTAATGATTTATATTTCTAGCTAACCTTAAGAGCCACAAATTTGCCCTTAGGTTGGAGTTCTTCTTGTAGCTCCTGCTCATACACTTTAAGTGATCCAATCAACTAGATATACAACTTATAGTAAACAATAGAAAGCAAGTAAAAGGATAGGGGTATGAAAGATTGTAAACAAAGATTTATATTGGTTCACCCAAATTTGGGATACATCATACTTTCACAGACATTGTGATATTTTTCATTATTATCAGCAACCATTATTCTTATTACAACACTAGCCCCTACTGGATTCATGTTCACACAACACAATCACCTACTGTTTGTGTTCTTCCACTTAGCCACTTGCTAAGATTCCTTCCTCAAATACCTTTTGAGACTACAACCGTCACAACTGTTTGTTATGAGTTCACTTAACGACTTGGTTAAAACTTTCACACCTCTGAACACTAGATCTAGGTAGAGAAAGCCTTTTTACAAAATCAAGCTTTGGTGTATTCTAGCAACGGCTATGGTTACACAAATTCTCTTTGATTAGGAGTTTCCATTAAGGAAGTTTCTCACTTATTTTTCTATTAGAAGAATGTTTACAAAAGTGTAGAAGTGGAGATCCCTCAACATAGAGTATGAAGTAAGGATTACAACTATGGAAGCTTGTATTTTGATGGCTCTCTTTTATCTTGCTTACTTCAAACAATTCCCTTGGTCTTCCTTTTATAGACTCCAAAATAGGTCTATTGGAGTTGACCTAACTTTTTAGCAGTGTTGACATCGTCTTGTATTTTTACTCTGGTGTTGTCAGCATATCCTTAAAAAGCAATTTGCTTCTGAAGCTTCCTTCTGAGTGTGCTTCTAAGTAACCTGTTGAACAAGATCTTCTGTATTAGTCTTTTGAGAAGTTGAGTTTGAATTGAAGCTTTCTGATTTAGAGGCTCTACTAGAAAAGCTAATGTACAGGGTCTTCGAGGCATCTTCCCTAAAAGAAGATTGATGTTCAACTTGAACTTCATTGATACATCAAACTTGTGCACACATAAATTACCTATGACCAAGGTGTTTTGCATCAACTCAAATACATAATTGTGCTTATTAAAGTTCTTCCAAATTGGAACACTTATAATACTCTTAAATATATAATGTTAAATTTGAAATACTTAAACAAAATTGTTAATACTATTCATAAACATTCTTATTTGACAAAATATGAAACTAAAAATTTATCATTATTAAAATATTTATTTAGGAAAGGATTCAACATTAAACACCTATTGAAAGCAAGAAAAATATAAGTTTTGACTAATCCTATCACACATAGTCCTTCAATCAAATAGGATTAGTCACCCTCCTTTTGGGCCTTGCAAATGGGAACCCACTGTGAGTTTATGTCCTCGATAAAAAATATTAAAAAAATATTAAAAAAAAACTCTTTTTCCTTGTTTATTGGCATTGTAGCTGCTACACTACACTGTACATGGTGAACCTATGTGTGAGTTCACCTTAACAAACGTGTTAAATAAAAGTTCAACATATTTTTGTACATTTATTTTACATGTTTGAAATGGTTGGGAATGTAACAAAAAAAAATTTATATGCAAATATCTACCGATAATAAATACATGTATTTTCTATATATGTATTATTCGTACATGTGGGTTTCTGCTAATATTTAATAATGTAATTACATATTAATTATATTTAAATGAAGTATTTTAATGATTAAAAATTTTAAAATTAAATTTTTTTAATTAATAAAATTGTGTATAATATTTGAATAATTTAAATTTTTACTTTTAAATTATTATTTTAAAGATATTATTATTAAAAAAATTATTATTTGAAAATAAATATCCATGAATATCTACATATATTATAGATATTAAAAAAAATATGAAGAGTACCCTACTTAATGAATATTTGCACGAATATAAAAGTTGAGACAAATATATATTTAGTCGATAGGACAAATAGTGATGGATTATTACTCATATCCACCTGCTGGAGTGCCGGTTGACATTCCTAGATATGGTATATTATATTAGTTTATGAAATTAAAAAATTATTAAATATATTAAATGTTTTCAAATTTAATTATTTATATTGTCATTAGTATTTAAATATAATAATATTATTATTTTAATAAAATATCTTTTGAATTTTGGACTAATGTAATTATCAATTTATATTTATAAGAAATTATTTAATAATTTATTAATTTCATAAACTAATATGATTAGTCTAGATAATAACTTGTGTGTTGAAATTAAAACCACTATCAGTAACTTGCGTAAATATGATTTTCATTGTGTAAATTTAACTATTGCCTTTTCAATTTCTGTCTTTATAAACCTTTTTCAAACGTTCTTTCTAAAAATTTCTCTTTTTTATACTAATTTTTCATTTATAACCTTATAATACGTTAATAATTTATTTTTATTGTCTAACAAATTTTTTTTTCAAAGGGCTAACTCAAAGTGAAAAAGATATTACAGGACTAAATTGAAAATATAGCATATTGAAAAAGACTAAAATAAAATTATAAGAACTAAAATAGAAAAAAAAAATTACACACACCAGGACCTAAAAAAACACACTAAAATATTATAGAAAAAAATATTTAAACCCACTAATTTTTACGTTTATTTTTTAAATGTGATGTGGATTTGAGATAAAAACATACAGATGAATGATAACCACATATTAAACTAGAATTAATTTTTATGTAACACGTAACTAGAATTTTTATTAACAAAAGAATTAGCAATGTCACATGAAGATGAGTGATAACCACAAATAATTAATTCTACTAAAGAACTACAAATGGTATAGTTGAAGCTGCTGTTTGTTCAGTACATTTTTTGTGGCAGCTTCCATTTTAGGAGGGTAGGTTCTGAAGCCACCCATCAGTGTCAATGAACTTTGTGTTTGTCATGTTCTCAATTGTTTTTAAATCCAATTTCTTAGTCCAATTCACTCTCTTAGACGTGTCTGAACCTGCTCCAAAATTTCCATACTCTGCAAATGTTATGCCACCCCTGCAAATTTATGATACCCAAATATGAAAAAGAGAATCAACTTCAACTCCTTGTGCATCTTAGGAAATTCAATTTGATTGATTTGAAATATTGATGTGCATTTTCTACCAAAGAATGTATATCTATTCAAGTGGTTTTTTTTTTCCTGGCAATTTCAAATGAAAACTATTTCTTCTTTTTCAAAACAAAAGGGAAGATTTTTTTTTTTTAAATTTATGGGATTTCTTTTTCTTCAAAAGGAAATAATATTCTAAAGTAGAAAAAGAAAAAAATAAATAAATAGAATTTAAGAAATAAAAATTAGGTTAAAATATAATTTAGTCTCTACACGTCATAAATTCTCAATTTGATCTTTAGATGTAAAAATTTATCAAATCAGTTTTTATTCATGCAGAGACAGAGAAATGAAGAATCTCTTCTTAGTCTCTCTAATTAAGACCATCTCTATAAGTTAAAAGAAATGAAAATTGCCAAATAATTTCTATTTTACATATAGAATTTTTGTTCAGATATTTAGCTTTGAACTAAATTTTAAAATTAAAAAAGTTTTAATCAGTCTAGAGCTATATATATAAGTTTTTATTTTACATTAAAAATTATCTTGTAAATTTAACTATTAAACTTATTGAAATAAGAAAAAGCTTACTTCAACAAATTTCACTAAAATAATTTTAACTAAAAAGAACCATAAAACATTTTCATAAGCCAAAAAATAACTTTTGTAAAAGCTACACAATAGCATTGAGTTTGTTTAGATAAATTTCTCCAAAAACATTTCTATGGTTCTAAGAGAAAAATAAATAAGAAGAAAAATTCAAATATAAGTTTCTGCATGAATTAAAAGTAAAATTTTAAACAAAAAACTAATAAAAAAGAACTTTTATAAATTAGCTTATATATAAGTTTATCCATAACCATCATTACATTATATTGAAAAATGAATTCATGTGCAGAAAAAATAAATAAAAAAAAGAAAAAGAAAGAGGGAACATACTCATGTCCAGCAAAATTCCATGCATTCCAACCAGTAGGTTGTATAATGTTGGACATATTGGTCTTATAGAAGAAAACCCTAGCATTACTTCTCCATGGCCTCCCCAAGTATGTTGTCCCATTTCCAAACACTTTGCATTCTTTGAAAACAAACCCACTTTCATCTTCTGAATTTGTTCTCCCTTGGGCCGTTATAAAGCCCGGAAGGCCCGGATCTAGGGCCCCACCAATCACAGATATAGAACACCTCTGCCAATATCAATAAATTACAGATGAAGAAATTATAGGAATCAATCATTTGAATCATCTCTATGCTTATTTTTTTAATTAACAAACATAAATTAATAATAGTAATGATAATAATATATGTTTTGATTCAAATAAATTGTTATTTCTATAATTTACTCTTATTTAACAAAATAAAATCTTTCCCATTAACATAGATTGCAGTTAAGATACAACCAAAATATATCTCCCATTGTACTTTATTCTTTCCTAAAATACATTATTTCACCATTGTTTAACAATGCTGACACCTTTATCTCTTAATATATTTATTCATCACAAAATTTTACTTAAATTTAAAAATATCAATATATTAAAATTTGAAAAAATAAATGATACGCTCAATTATAAAATAATTATATACTATCATTCAACCCCAAATGATCATTTATATTAAATTTTTATTTTTAAACCAAATAAAAAAAATAATTATACTAAAAATGATAATTAGTAATTAGTTAATAATTAGTAGTGCTTTAATATTAACCATTTAAAATTTGATCATAATTTTACATAGGAATGCTTGTCCATGCATACTAATTAATTGGCTATAATATATTTTGTTCAATGTATTTTATTATTATATACAACCTCTCATATGGCATGTTATAGATGAATCATTCGAGTTGATTTATCAATAGAAGTCGGTGCAATATGGACAAGTGTAAAATTGATGATGTTATTATAATTTTTATTTGGTTAAAATATCTTTCCTAATATTTATATTTATTTTTATTTATTTTTATTTTTTATAGTTTAAAATAAATATATTTAGTCTATATTTATTTTTATTATTTTTTAAAATCCTTTAGTTTAAAATATATCTCTTTAGTCTCTATATTTATCTTTTTTAATATTTTATTCTTTATAGTTATTTTTTTTAAATCATCTCTTTTGTATTGATATGGTAAAGGTTTAAGATTCAGACTTCGTAGATGAAGTTAAATAAGAGACACAAATGATAAGGGACCTAGTTTAAGATAAACACAAAGTTGAATATCTATATTATATCAATACAAAAGATAATATTATAAAAAAAATATATATAATAATGACAGGAATAGAGGTGTTCAACTTATATTTAAAACTGTAAATATAAAGATAAAAAAAAAATCCAAAATTATAGAGAATAATTATTACCTCAAATAAAGATTGGGCTGCACCAAAGATAAAATCAACAGCACCTTGTATGGTACAAAGCTTGTAGTAATGTCTTCCTGCGTCGTCCCATAAAGTGTCTTGAAAACCATAGAACCCAACTCTCAAAAAGTATGACTTGTCGCCACTTATCATCGCAGCTACAGCAGCTACAACATTGCTCTTACCATTCATTGGATTGTTGTATGAATTCTGCTCCACATACACAAATTAACTCAATATTGTTTTTCTTAATAAAAATTAACCAAAGTCTGAACTATATATAATTATTTACTTCTTAATTAAGCCAAATAATTGTTCATAATCAATTGGAGCCCTGTTGATCTTTGTCAAAATAAATAAAAAAAAAATATATATATATATATATATAATAAGCTTTTTCTCACTTTGAAATATTCAAAGATAATAGTAATAAGTTAATTATTTAGAAATCAACATTGGTTTTCGAACGAACTCCCCCAAACACTTCAGACCAAACCACAATACCTTGGTCAAATAATTTTAGTTTTCGTCCAATTTTCACTTTTCAGTTCATTTGCAATAAGGGGAGGGAAAACTAAGTAGGAAACAAGGGCACACAAAACGTGGTAGAGCATACCATGCATGAAAATTAGCATTATTAATATATATTCAGTATTTTAATCTTATATAGGACAAATATTTATTTTATACAAATAAGTTTTTATTTTAAATAAATATTTTTAAATGTATAAATTATATTATAATTAAAATTTATGATAAATTTTTATTTAGATTATATACATTATAATTTATATTTACAATAAATAATTTAAATTGGGATATAAAATTTTAATTATTGATATTTAAAAAAGTAAAGATACAGATAAAAAAAATGGAAGATAATTTGAAATTGTAAATAAAAATTGCACTTTCAAAATAAATAAGATAGAATGTTGAAAATTTATAACTGAGAACAAGAAAATTAGAGTTGCACTCTCATTTCTCTTAAAAAAAAAAAAGGGTATAAGAATAAATTTTGAGAAGAAAAAAAATACCATATTTCTTCCTTTTTTTGACCTTTTTTTTTTCTCATGGAATGAATTTCACTTCAGAGCATTCCTTCATTGACCGAGGTAAAATAACATCCAACCCATGAATAATTCGTGAATCAGTATTATTTGGGTTAACTTCAATATTATATGATTTAAGACGAATATTTGTTCATCTATCTCTTAAATATCACATGAATTAAGCAAATTCGTTGCCAAATATATATATTCTTATCAATATTTAAATAAGGAAAAATGTTACAAAAATATTCATATAAATGAGGAAAAGGAAAGAATTTGAAAATGAGAATGACCAACCTAGCTATAAAATTAGAAGCAAATTCTATTAAGAAAAATGAAATTCAGTGTTGATTTGTCTATTGATGCCAAGGAAAAATGATTTAACCGCAAATTGTTAACTCTATTGGTTAGACACTTATATTCTTTATCTAAAGATTTTGTTTTGGACATGAGATCACCGTTGAAAGTATCATTTTATCTTTATGAGAATTGATTCAATAAAAAAAATTACACCTCCTTATTAAACTTAAATAATAAAAAAAATATTTAAATGAAAAAGTAAGCAAAAGATTCTCACCCTAAAGCTCATGGATTTGACAACAATATTCCCAGCCATGGATGTGAACGTAGGACTCTGCGAGGTATTATCGTGATCACCCCACTCAACAACAGTTCTTCTCTTTCCC